ATTCGCACAAATGCGAACTCACGAACCAACCCATTCAGTGCAGAACAGAGAACAATGAAGCTGATCGGATGGAATAAGGAGAACCTAACTTTCCGAATCTAATCAGCCTCAAATCGCAGGTACAATAATGCAACGGTGTAGATGCCCAATGATTAAACAAGACTAGTCACCCCCAGGCAACTTTTCATCGACATCACACACCCGAAGTATTACATCCTCATAGGATTTTTTTCGTTTATCTCCATACCCAACGTGTACGATTATCACGATTTTCATTTTTACTTCCTTTTATTGAAAATATACAGATACAAATTTCAGAATCGGGAGAAGCGACCAATCAAAAGGCTGCCTTACAACACACAGAGAATGGGAAGAGTCAGGCGGTGGTAATGGGATTCGAACACACACATCCCCGCTGGGTGATAACTTGGTGACGTTACCATCTGGCCACTCATTTTCAACGAGATAAGAGAATTACACTCCCCCCCCCCGCCTGCCCCCATTGCCCACTGAAATCCCAGTTAACTACCGAATGTACTGACCATTCCGCCTTAAAACATGTTTGCACAACTCCCTTTCAAATCTGTGGATTATTTTGAATACTACCTTCAGCGATACCGTATACTTCACATGCGTCGGAATCCAGACTGTGCCAAACAAATCACAGTGCGATAATCTTAATAAAAAAAATGTCCGTAATTTGCACGAGGGCATGATACTACTAGGTTACCCATGCCAAATCAGGTGAACTTTCTTAAAAAGTTCACAACCGGGGCCCTCGACCAGCCAAAGCCTGGTCCAAAAGGCAGCGCGGTGATGTGTGAAAACTGCAATCCATTGAGGGCTGGTGTCCAGTTCATGGGATCATACGCCCTTTGGACGGGGTCAAACGTCCAAGATGCTCAATAGGCCTCGATGCCCCATCCAGCCGGTGATCACCACAAGTGCGTGGTTCGTATGCCTCATCTTGGTTAGTTTGGAACCAGGGTTTTTGGACAACTGCCCTAGGTGCACTGCCAGTGGTTCACCGACTCAGATATTGAAGTTTAGTCCTGTCACTTTGGTGGGAAAACCCCACCACGAGAAGGCAGTGGGTACGGTTTCCTTAGCAGACAGTTAGTCGTATGAGAGCATTTCGCGAGATGGGTGACCAATCCCGAACATATTGAGGCTTCCGACCGGCGATACTATTTGGCTCTAATCAAGAATACCACTAATGCATATTTTGTGATTTAAAGGCTTGCGTCTTTGGTGTAACTGAAAGCTAAATGTTTTCTATTGGAACAGGCAAGTCAGAAGGCAAACACTAGGCGAGAGGAATTCCTTTCTTATACTCTCACCGGTCGCGTACGTATACCATCGAACAAGATAGACAAATGAAGCGATTTAGGAAATCTAGTTAGTATTAACCACATTTGCGTGTGTGATTGTGTACTTCATTTGTCTATCTTGTTCGATTTTATACGTACGCGACCGATGAGTATAAGAAAGGAATTCCTCTCCCGTAGTGTTTGTCTTCTGACTTGCCTGTTCAAATTCATCACGAGATTCAAATGTTTCAGTTTTCTATTGGGTTTAAGCTTAGGCCACGCCATTGTTGTGATACCGTGCAATAGTAGACAGCATTATGTTAGATACGAGTTATAAACCGCAACCTTATCATGTTGAAACATGGCCTCCATGGGACTATTTGATGCCGGGCGTCAATGTGAGAACGTATGCATTGGAATTTCACGCTCCGGGTAGTGCCTTCAATTGGGCAGCTGATCGAGAACGCCCCCATCCACACACACCATATCATCACGGAGTTTTGAAGGTCAAGCTGCTTACTGAAGTACTATCTATCGCTCTTCATTCCGCAGATCACACATGACTGTTCCTTACATGCGTCGGTTCTATCAAAATTAAAATTCCGTTCGTAGCTCGAGTAGACCAAATTCCAATCGTCTATCCGAAATGCGTGAGGTTCAGCACACAATAAAAGGCTTGTCTGTTAGTAAACTTTCTAGAGCCAGGCCCGTTCTCGTCATCTTGTGCTTCATCCAGTAGTTGCTTTGAGTGTACGTTGTTTTGGCTTTCATCAAATCACCCACCGTTTGCATCCCCGATGAGTGAGTAACTCAGGCAGTCTGAGGTCATACCCAGCAAGCTGTGCTTGTCTTCCTCGAGGGATTTTTCCAATTTTGTTCATAGTTCTTTTCAGTACAGATATCGTGCCAGAATGAATCTGTACCTGAAGTATGATCTGACAACCTCATGTGTTGACATTGTTCCCATGACATGTAACAATTCTGGATTTCTCGTTAGCAGTAAGGCTGTTTCAACAAGTAATAGTCGACAATAGTGTGTGATGACCTAATTCAAGGTCATTAAGAGTGGTGTGAGCAGGGTGTCACATGACCGCAGCTTACACAAATATACCGACCAATGCTACCCCGCGGTTGTCTTGGCATAGTACGAACGCGGGAGAATTAATGCATCCCCTCTTGAATCGAGTGGGGATTGTGCATTGTGTAATACTGTTGGTGCGGTGAAAATTGTGTTCATTCGATGTTTTCTTTGGAACAAAAGATGACTATGAAAGTTCGTATGTTATTTATGTATTCGGTGACGATCCATGGTATCAAAAGCGGTGATGATCGCGCACGTGAGAGCGAAAATAATCGAAAAATCCACTGAATTTGTAACGAGGTGTATAACTAATGAAAAACCGATCGGGATGGATTCGATGCGTGCGCGGAAATTCGAACCCGTAGACGATACCCGACCAGCCTCATTCATGTGCGAGTGGAATTATGGATCACGCTCGTGATTGAGAGTTGAGATACAACACACGATGTACATGAATCCACATCGCGCATGGTACAACTGGGAACCGAACCCAGTTTGGTCGATGGACCGCACATTGCATGGATAAGACCCAACCAGGTCGAAGAGAGAGAGAGAGAGAGAGAAAGAGAGAGAGCAGTAGCAATCATGATCTTGTCAAAGTAGCATCATCTTGTGGTGCAGCGTTGTCAGACATTCACTTGTGGGACGTTTTAGACGGAAGTATAAAAGCTACTCGTCCGCATCTTTTCTTACGACTACATCCTGTCCCACCAAGCCTTAGCCAAAACCCGCAGTCATTTAGCCTCGAACCCTCATTCCTTTGGTCAAAATCCGCAATGCATTAGCCTGGACCAGTAATCCTTTGACCTCGGCGAACAAACTTTAGTCGTACCGCTATAAACATGCTAACCGTTCCGTATTTCATTTAAAGCGAACTCCATTAGTGAAATGTGGATACATTAATAGACAGAGGATGATAAACAGCGTTCATTAAAGGTAACCCTTTATCACACTCCCGCGCAATTTCCGAGCCTTGACCGTGGTAACTATATCAAATGCTGCAGTGTTATTAAATAAATCATAGCAACGACGGCGTCTGTTCATCATCCTCCACATGTTAATGTATCTTTCATGAGCAGAGCTCATTTCGAGTGGAGATACGGAATAGGAAACGTTTACTTTTTTTGTAGTATCGCCTCATTTTTATTTCAGGGTTTGTGAATGCAAAACAATGTACTGTTTGTGTTAAATTTGAGAGTTTCACTCACAACAGTATCGCATTTTATACAGAAACACTGAAGCAGCTGTACAAGAGATGTGTCAAATGGTTTGACGATACGGGCACGTCCGTCAAGCCTTCTCCAATCAATATGTTACGGCATGCGACGGCCACACCTTAACCAATCTTTGTAACATCACCGTTTGTAGAAAATAATTTTTTCAACATTCGTTGATCTCAGAATAGTCCGATACTTTTTGATCTGGCTCATCTACAGCGGTATGATGAACGTTGGTGCGCCGAGGTCAAGGCAATATGGGTCGTGGCTAACGTATTGCAGGTTTTGGTTAAAGCTTAAAGGGAAAATGGTTGTAGTCTCCGTGTCATATGTTAACATTCCTGTGATTAGTTGATTTATCTTTGAAAAGTGCACCGCGAACTCGTCAACGAACTGCTCCAAAAAGCGATGAATTCCCATCAACTGTTGTTTCTTAAATAATCTTGCGAGATTTTTGCATACGTGACGATAAGCTAGCAGCTTTAAAGGGTGATTCGTGACGAATTTCTCAAACGCGCAGTATTCATGTCGCACAACACTGTGATGGAACCGAACAAGAGTAGTAGTAAGCACAACCACTCGACCACAGTGAACCAGTACGTTAAATCACAAAATACAATCCGACCGACTATTGACAATCGCTTGCAATCATCTTTGTTCCGACAGTGACCAATTCGCTTCAGGTCATCGACGAGTGGTTGCAGTCCTCCACTAGTGTGTGTGACAGGTTTTAACCCACTGTACAAAAGCTATAAGCACCAAGACGAACAGAATCCAGGTGACCTTGAACACTACCTGGTGGTTCGATTGCACGAATCGATCGATGAGGGAATGTGATCAGGATCTGTGCTCCAAAAGTGATCGACCGAATAAACAGCAGTGCCGAAGAAAACCACGAATCAACTCTGTAAGGAAAAAAACCCAATTGAAACGACCGTACTTTTCAAATGAAACAAAAAATTATCAACTTTATGGTACATATAAAGGCTGTGTACAATAGCATAGAGAGGAAGTAAGAACAGTGAAAATGGGATTGTCGTATTTCATTTCGGGCAATCATATTTGCTACCGGACCTTAGTGTTATTTTCCATTCGTCTGACCATCATCATCATCATCATCGTTATTAGTTTTATTATAAAGTAATAAAATAAAAGTCAGAAGTTGAACAATAAAAGAACGTATTCGCCCTAATTATCAACGGCTCAATCAAATGCAACGGGGTGAACCCGGAAACGTCCAGAATTCGATGGGAGTTTTACTCAATCTGAACGGAGATAATTACATCAGATCGTAGTGGCCGACCGAGGATAAAATCTCCTGCACATACACACACACACACGCGATCAATCAACTCGAGGAAAATATTCCACTGGGATGTGTATGTATGCGTTTCAACGTGGACAAACTTCCCGCCAGTTCGATTTGAGCAGCGTATTGCCGGCCAAATTGATGCCCGTCGCCTGACCACCAGCTCCAGATCGGGAATTTTGATGGGACTTGGTAACGTGAACACGACACGCTGCATGGCTGGAAAAACAACGGTCACATTCCGGGCACTGAACTGGAATGGCGGGACGTGAATCCGCCCGAGAACGAGACATTCTGGACGATTGAGGGGTTGGAGAGGAAACAGAACGCGCAATCACGTTCGTCGTTTTTGACGTGGCGGACGAAGAAACAATGCCGGAAAATAAAGCATCCAAGTGCTGACTGAGCGCGATCTGCGAATAGGCAGTTTTACTGGTTTCAGTGGACTGAGAATTAGTACTAGTACCACCACCAGCTGAAGCTTCCGAATGATCGTCCCGAAATTCCCAAATGTTTTTTTGCACGGAACCAGGGCCATGGGTGCGGATTGGAGTGCTCACCGGAATATGTTGACGATTCAATTGTGCACCTAGTTGTTCGCGATCGGTGCTAGATAGACCCACCTCAGCGTTGTGCCGGTTCGGATCGGTTGAAGTGGCTAGGTGACTGGGGTTCGACTCCGACGAGGAGGGGGACGAGAAGGAATGAGGACGATGCTCGGTTGTTGTTGTTGTTCTAGTCGACTGTGGGGAATTATTCAACTCGGCGAGCCTTGTCAAACGAACCAATTCCTCAACGAATGTTTGCAAATGATGTGATCGATCTGAGGCGAGAGGACTGAGAGCGGAGACAATCGCAGCAGAGGTCAGAGTTAAAATTTTTTGACGTAACTCTTCCGATTGACACGCTTGTTCAATTACTTGTTGTAATTGGGCCTGAATAGTTGATGCTGCTGTTTCATCTGACTTGGATTTCTCTGGAAAGCGAGTGCTCAGTTCCGTGCTGTTCGTGTTTTCTAATTGATTGAACACGGCTGAACAAAGTGGTTTAGTGAAATAGGTGTCGGTGGGAGGACATGGTGCTGCGAGTAAAGAATTAGCCCGACGGGTGGATCGAGCTTTTTTTGATGGTGCAGTGAACACACTGGTGTCGGCGGAGCGGGACAACTCGTGCGACTGATCGGCAGCTTTTTGATCGATGCGCATCGTCATTTGTGCTCCCGACTGACAAGGGACACTCGGTTGTTTCCAAATGAATGGATTAGCCCGTTTCCCAACACGAGTGTTGGGTGTGGAACGTTGAGAATTAACTGTAACAGTTGATTTGTCCGATTTGCTACCTGTGTCCTCGTTCACACCCAGTGCTTGATTCAACTGCGAGGCTTTTAATTTCAACACCGGACAGGAACGGGCACGATGATAGTGTAAATTGCTTGGTGAGGTGTATCGTTGCCCACAATCTTCACACATGTATGGTTTCTGTGTGGCATTATAATGCGATTTGTAATGCCCTGTTAAGGAAAATCGATTGGTGAATAGCCGTCGACAAACGCGACATTTATACATACCGTCACGCGTGCGTAAGGTAGTATCTAGCGTAACTAGGGGAGCGGTGTTCACTTCAGTTTCCTTTGGTTTTCCGGAGTCGGACAGTTGCTTAGGGTCTTGTTTTGGATTGGATGACGATGATGCTGACGAGAACGATGATGATGATGGTGAGAGTGATTGTTCGGTCGAGGAAAACGAGGTAGGCGGCAAATTCGTGGTTTTCGGTAAAGATTGATCTCTGACGGATGGTGAGGTCATAGTTTGTGCCGCATTGGTCTCAGATGTACTGGGAATTGTGACAGACGCAGACGAAGCTTTCCGTCGGTTGCATACTGACATTGAGGGGCACTGAAGTGAGCCATTCATATCCAGTTCATCAGTGGACGACTGTTTCGAGTGGTTTGCTTCCGAGTGGGAGTTCATGCCAGTGGGTAGATGGGAACTAGTGTTGGGGTCTGGGTAGACAGTGTAAGATGTAGATGAAAATTAGAAGAGAACCGGCACAATAAATGAATACGGTGACCGCATGCCGAGATTAGTATTACTATTATGATTGCGGATACTAATATTGCAAATAAATAAGACTGAATTGAGAGAGCTGAGTGATATCAAGTTCTATATTCAAAATTCTTCATCAACAAGCTCTCTAAATAAATACTCGATCGATCAAATAAGATTGGGTGAGATATACGCAAAATGAACACGCATGTCTGTATTTACAATTGGAGTGAAACACAACAGCAGCCACATTCAGCTTGCATCCTGGTGGGTGGGTGACAGTAGCAACTTTGCTCATTCGATTTGAGGCTATTTGAAATCCGAATGCAACGAATAGCAGCTTGTCAAGAGATCAATCAATGCCTTGACTATAAGTCAATTCAGTTCAGTTAGTACAACCAATAACCGAACGAGGTCTCATCAGTGAATCATCGCCAGATCTAGGACCACAGATACACTTCTGAATATCTTGAGGTGCTTATACCACAATGAGCAAGAGGTCAATCGACACTTATTCACTGAATATTTCCATCGTAGTATTAACAAACACACTGTAGCGAACAACCCTTGTTTCCGATGACGTCTTCCTCGGGCTAATACGGTTATATGTATAGGGTTCAAAATTGTCCAACTAGTGTAATGGTCTGACGTGATCAATATGACTGGTTGATTGTAATCTTGTGATATATGGTTTGGAAATGAAAGGGTAAAGATTTTGTTGTTGTTGTTGTGTGGTTTAGAAATCCATCGATTGTGAACATCTCCAAACCACACAACAACAACAATCTCATTTCCAAACTATACATACCACGGGATCACAATCAGCCAACTATATTCATCACATCAAACCATTAAAATAGTTCGACATTCGTTCATTCATTCAAGCTCTAAGTTGGTGTGTGTTCGTGCCTCTAGATAGACACTCTTAAAACATCCTTTTCCCCGTTTTGAATTTGAATAGAGACTGGATATGAAGTGAACGTGACCACGACATTTAGAGTGTTCTCACCACGCAAAACTTCCGATTGCTCTAGTTGGCAGACTGCTACAGAATGAGGGAAACCTGAACTTTGCAAGCAGCAAGAGTTACTCGTAACCCGAGCACTACCAAGATAGGCATATTTAACACCAACAGCATATTTTCTTATTACAAAAACTTTCGTGTGATCAAAAGCAGACGCGGTACACTCCATAATCACCAGGACCTGCTGTTCACTGATGGAAACCGGTAACCTAAGCCCCAGGACTTGGAGTGGTGAATCACAGAAGGCCCCGACAGGTTAGGCGTAGTATTGAACCGGACGACAACAAAGCTGCCTATCACTAAAGTTGGGTGGCGGTGGCGGGGCTCGAGCCTCGAACCATAGGGTTCAAAGCACGCCGGTGACAGCGACTAAACCACTGCGTCACCACCACCCTATGGTATGTACCTGAAGAGATTTTTTTCCGAAAATAAACTGTGCAGAACTCCTGAGCCTGATTATCGCAACACCAATGCAACCCGGTGGGCGAGGGATTCGCGCGGCTGTGCACACCCGAAATGTTCAGCACACACACAACATGGTTTGATTCGGAGAACAACCGGTAAAATACGTCATTTAAAGGTATGTATAGATTTTTCATGATCAGCAAAGGCATACCTGTTTGATTTGGATTTGGTAAACTTGACACACCGGTGAGGCTGTATGTCAGGAAAAAATCCCAAAAATGCTTCTACTTTCGTTGTGAGTGAACAGAAAATCGATGAAGCACTACCATGAACACGACGCCCGAAATTTTCGAAAAAGTTAGAGCATCTCGTTCCACTAGAAAAGGATCACAGCCACTGTCACCGGTGTGCTTTCGTTCCTTACAGTTCAAGCCCCATCACCGTCACCCAACTGTGGTGGTAGGTAGCTTTGTTGTCGTTTGGTTCAATTCCACGCCCGACCACATAGTGAGGCCTTATGTGGCTCACCAGTTTAAGTCGTCCCGGGGCAAAGATTTCCACCACTAAACAGCAAGTCTTTGTAACTATGAAGTTCGCCCCCCGTCAGCTGTTCGTCATACAAAACTGTGTAATAATAGGTTTTTTTTACTCANTTTTACTCACAGCATCCTAGCAAACCTGAGACGACAACTCCGGACAGAATTACTACAAACGGCGTGCAGAATGTATGTGTGTACACGAGAAAGTACAATTTGTCTGACGGGCTGTGACTAAACCCAATCTGATCGGGGTGTACACATTAGCAACAGAAAACATGAACAATCGGGGGAATAGAGAGAACAGTAGTTGCAGTAGTCAAGCGACATACATAACTGTTCACTTAAGAACATGACGCGAAACGCTGATAAATTTAATAATCTAAAAATAGTATTAACAATAACAATAAAAATGATAGTAACAATGCAACAAAACTGCAGCATGTATCGGTGTGTGTGTGTGTGCTGGATTTCTTTATGCCAAAATAACACGGATGAAGGCCAGATAGAAAACACCCAATCATATTCACCAAACGTAAAATGACCTAGAATTTTCATTGGACAATTCGCCTTCCAGCATGCATGCATCACCTTATTGCTTTTGTGGCTAAGGAAACAAACTACTTAATGACACCAAAGGAAAATGCGACAAAGTTTTCAATAAAACTTTTTTCGTGCAATCGGTTTGATACAGTAGGTTATCTAGATTGGATTCAATCGGCAGTCGTCTTCCTAAAGCCTAATTTGAGTACCGTAGAAATAACGTCTAACTGAGGCACGGGATGAATACGCAGCACCTCCCGGTCATGTGACTCATGTTGATGTGTGCGATCGATCGCAAGGTAGGACAGAATTTGGGGACCGATGAAGCGGCTGTACAGAACGGACAAAGAACAAACAATTCAATCATAAAACCTACCAGTAATGGACACCTGTCGTGCAGGCTCTGTGCATTCGGAATCCATGGTCGAATGACTTTCTGTGTTCGAACCGGTGGTTGGATTCGGTTCCGGAGTGTGATCAAGACTCGTTTCGGTGGAACTGATCGAGTGAGCCTGCGACAATTAGAACAGAATATTGCTTGATTAGGGGACAAAAATTGCAATATTGTGATTGATTAGAATCCATTCATTCACAGGGATCATATCAGTTGGGGTGTTGATTAATCAACAGATCCATCGCAAATTAGATTGAAATACAGATCGGACAACAAGTGATTTCTGTTCGAAATATCGGTGCCCTCATATTTTCTGCTTGCCTGCTCCTTCATAGTCGGAAGAGACTGTTTGGTTTATCGTCAACGTGGATCAGCTAACTCAACCATACACCCGGGGCTTATTAAATTCACGACGATGCCAAAACGCATGCAGTACTCCAGTGTAGACTGTCTGTTTGCGGGTTCAAATTCCACAGTGATCCTTTAAATCGAACTCTATTCGAAGCACCTTCTAAACATTCAAGCTAATATTTGTGTTGCTGAAATGGACAAAGGGAAAAGGATGTTTTACAAACTAATATTTGAAACACTGGGTCCTCTTTATCCATCGTGCTAAGACCGAAAGAAGACATATATCGCGAGATGTTAACATTTCGTTTAATCTTCTCAATCGCAGACGTAAAATAAACAAACACATTTATTTCACATTAGATTTGTAAATCCTAGTGAACGGACATGTACAGTTAGACAGGGGCTATTAGAATTAAAAAATGTTAACATCTCGCGACAAGTCTTCTTTCGGTCCTGAAATTAATATTTGTTTTGAACGCTGAATCACACGATCACAAACTCTATCGCTTGGAAGCCACATTGCCACCGGTGAGCTCAAGGCAGAGTAGAATGACATAATGTATGACTGGAAAAAAACTATGGGTATTTTTTCGGCACAAACCGCTGGGCAAGTGTCAGTGAAAGAAATAGACATAATCCTCGTATGTTTGAGTTCGGACCTACCGGGTTCACATAATAAAGACATCCCTACTGAGAGAACGTGTATTTGGCATTCGAAGGGAAGACACGACCAGGACTACTTCGATCCCCGTAGAAAAATCATCTACTTAAGTGGTTTCTCCCCCCCCCCCCCCTGGAAATGCATGACCACTGTAACGTAGTCATTTATATGGTTGACGAGAACTTGTAATGTATCAGATCACACGTTTGGTCGGCAAACAAGCCAGAAGACAACAACTTCATGATAGGCTTTAATCGACCAAAAACGAGGCATTAGAGCTAAAATGAGACAAGCGAAATGTTAGAATGTGCGCCCAGAATAATAGCAATCTATGCAACAGAAAGGACAATAATAAATCTACGGCAACCAAAAAGAGTAGGGAGTAGGCTTCGTAAACCAAAACCGATTGTCGAAACCGGGTATTCCAAGTATCGTGATTTGGATTGGAGAACCACGCTGTGAAATGCACCTCGAATACCCGATCCGCGGAGGCTAACAGTGCCGGATATATATTGTATTGTGTATTGTGTATAACTTTTGCCAGCACTGGAGCTCACATTTAAGTTGAACAGAATCATATACACTAACCATCACAATGCACATAATCAACGGGGAGAAAAGTTTTTACAGGCACGGGGGCATTTCATTATCCAGGGTTAACAGAAAATTCACTTATTGTCCACTCTTTGTTTACGGTATGGATGAATTGCATTAAGCGTTGATTCGAGATGAAATTTGATGAAATGGGGAGCGTGTTGAATGATGAGAACGACAACGTATCAGTTCTACGTGCAATGGGTGGTCAGGATCCGTGAGAATAATATCAGCAAATCTCACACCGGAAGTAACGTGATACTCCGAAAGCTTTAAAGCTAACTCGTTCACAGGAATACAGGACACAAATAATAAGGGTTAAACCGCGGCTTAAAACTTTGAAATCCTGTTTGAGTAAGCCAGGAAAAATAACTGGGGAAAAGTAGAGTAATATGGGGAAAACACTGATAAACTAAGGTAGAAACAACTGACTGGGATGCGCGAAACTACCCGAGCTTTCCTATTTGAAATGATAGGTACCGCAGTTTACAAATGCAGCTGTGGATGTGGGTAGGTCAATGAAGATTGTTATCTATGGTTACAACAAGATATTTGACAGAGTTCCGGACCTGAAGAAGATGACGAATTGCAACTATTGAAAAGTTGTAACACATCACAATATGAGAGTGGTTCCACGTTACTAACATTTTGTGAAGAGTAGCAGGAATGCGGCATTGAGATCACCAACATCTACATCCAACTTTGACTGTACTTTCTTCGTTCCACATACATATACAAAGTTCATTCCAACAGATGATCGACACTTTCAAACATTCCATTGCAAACGAAACACTGATTGAAAATATACATACATATATATATGAGAGAGAGAAAGAAATGATGCACTCACCGAATTCGACGTCGAACTGGTAGATTTCTGGGGGTGCTTGCTCCGCTTCGTATGTTTCACGGACACGAGGCGAATTTTCAGCGCTCCGCCGCTGCCTAAAAAAGAGATCAATGGCATATTCTTAAGTGAAAATCACCAGCCATGCGAAGTGGTTATTCTGTGAGTGGAGCACAAAAAACAGCTCACCGAAAAGAGCAATACGGGCATGTTTCAGAACCATTTGCCACTGATCGTAGAGTGAACCGAAAAGATCTTTTTTATGACAAAACTTTTGATGCCTTAACGTCGACTATAGACACATTCTCACCATCACGTTGTGGAACACATCCTTCCTTCTCTTCGTGTCTCGATTCACTATCCCTCACCCTCAAACTCTTTTTTAATCGGTTCATTTTAGTGTTATTATATTTCATTACATCCGATTTGAAGATTGACGTGCTTCGAAAATTCACTTGTCCACTACCAATCTGAATGAATGTCTTCTTTCAATTCTTAAACGCTCGCGATACCGATGGTCAATTTCAATACTGACCGAGAATGCCCCGTTGATGTGCTTTTTATTATTATTATTATTATTATACACAGTTGTGTGATGACAGGGGAGACCCTAGAGTCACGAAAACCGGCTGTTCAGTGACAGAAAACGGTAACCTAAGCCTCGGGACCACGTAACGCCTCGCTAGGTTAGGCAGCGTATTGAACCGGACGACACCAACGCTGCCTGCCCCCGTCTACGTCATAGGATTATGAAAATTTCGCATGAAGAAGAATACGAGCGGCACTATCTGTGCAATAAACTATACTCACGAGCGATACAACAACAATCTCATGAAGAGCAATCTTACTTGGTGAACCTGGCGGTGGTGAGGAAACCGTATAGACCGGACGCGATTTCTGTCCCGGATTGTTTGGTTCTGTGACCAGATCCTTTGGCGCAGACGCAAGTTGGCAGTCGCTGATGCTCGACTCTGCCGGAGCGGATTGGGCAGAGTCTTCTGTGACGGTTGGATGAGGACTGCTATTCGACTGAGGAAGTGACTGGACACTTGCCAATCCCGTTGGGCTGCTGTGCGTTGGAGACAAGGTCTCTGTCGCCGTGTCCACAGTCAATGGAGTAGTTGGCACTGCGAAAGTAATTTTTAAATCGAATGAGAATCGATAATATACTGGGGTTCGGAGGTTCTAACGTGCACATAAGTTTCTGAGAAAATAAAATGAACCTCCATGGCCAACACACAGAGTGCACAACGTGACTGTGCATTCATACCTTTTCAAGCATTCTGACCTGATAGGAAATGCCAACAAGAATACCACTGTTGTCGATTAGTCGCTATGTCTCTCAGTGTCCTCAGTTAACCAGTTGCAGTCTTTTGGTATATATATATATTTCACACTTGTCTAAGGACAGACTGTGCCAAACAAATCATGGTACAATAATCTTTATAAAAAGAAAAATGTTCCATGATTGGCTTGTGGGCTGAGTACTGCTATGTTGCCCAGGCCAAAGCAAGTGAATTTTCTTGAGGAATCCACAACCGGAGCCTTCGGCTAGCCAAAGCCTGACCCGCAAGGCAGCGGGGCGGTGTGCGAAAACCGAAGTCCATTGGGAGCCGGTGTCCAGTTCATCGGATCATACACCATTTGGACGAGGTCAAACGTCCAAGGTTCCCAATTCACCTTGATACCCAATCGAGCCGGTGACCACTGCCACAACCGAAAAGGTGTGGGTGTGGTTCGTACGTCTCCTCATGGTTGGTTTGGAATCAGGGCTTTTGGCCAACTCCCCTAGGTGAACTGCCAGTGGTCCACCAACCCGACTATAGCCCCGGATATCGGCTTTTCGTCCTCTCACTTTGGTGGGAAAACACCTCCGCCGCGAGAAGGCAGTGAGTAGGGCTTCCTCAGCAGAGGCTATTTGAGACGCTTGGTCATATGGGGGCATTTCGTGAGGTGCTAGGGCAGGGTGACCAGCCGCAACCCTAGACACCCACCCCCAACCATACTGAGACCTTGGGAGGCAGTCTTTTGGACTCCAACCTGGAAGACGGGACACACTTATTCTACCTTATCGCCCTGTGCATTTCATTACTCCTCGTTTCCACGTCATCTGTTGACCTCCATGAGCGGCAACTGCGAAAAAGGAGCAGTGCGGTAGACGATAGCTGGGCATGCGCAACAAGTTTCCTAACCAGCGAAGCCGACACCCTAACTCTGAGTTGCTTACACGCTCGCTCCGTTCAACCCGCGCCAAACTATGTAAACATCGCTATTCGGTAGTCGAACACTTCTAAACGACGAATAGCTTCCACTCGCAAATTTATGGTCTCGCAACCATAAAGCAGAACAGACCGCACGCTGGCGCAGTATACGTGCGGTCCATTCTGCTTTCTGGCCTGACATTAGTAGCCTGTTGCAGATTCATTGTTCCATCCATCAGTACCTCTAACTAAACAGTTACAAATTGTTTCGGAAACAATGCTCAGCGGTTGTGCATTCATTGGTTTAACGCTATGGTAACTCGGGCGTGGTACGCCCAAGAGCGTTCGGGCTCACACAACACATGTTTCATTCCTCCATTGAGGTTTTCTGATCTGAAGTCTATCTAAACGATTTGAATGCCTCCATCCAACCCCGCCGGAAAGAAATTGACATATCTGAAAGTAAATTGCTCACCTTTACGAGATGATTGGCGACCGGAGGGATTGGTTTTAACCGAATGCGTTTTGTTCATGTGAATATTTCGTGAACGAAAATTCACAAATGTTCGTTCACACAGAGGACAATTGACTGAGGTTTGGTTCGGGAAAACTACATGCTGCCTTGTTTGCTCCAGTTGACCGGTGGATTCGTTCGATGTCGATTTGCCTGCCTCATTGTCAGAATCCATAGTAGTCGCAGGTGTTGTGTTCACGGTACTCTGGCCGCTGGCCGATTCATTCAGCGAGCTGGATATACTCTGAGCGAGAATGGCGGGAGAAGCCGTCTCGACGGGCCCCGAGCTAGACGATGTTGGGGAGCTTGCCGTGCAATGTGTGTGAGGCCGTATCACGTTTACACATTTCACCGATTCCGGGTGCAGTCGATCAAGAGCGACCGGACTCGACGGCTCAAGTTCAATCAAATCCTCACCGGTAACTTTGATGATTTCCTCGTTCCAACGCCTACTGGAATCTTCGTCCAACTCGCTATCACTCTCCAGTTCGAGTACAACACCAGCCAAACCGTGGCCCATATAGGGGCGAGTGTGATTGACATGACTCGGTTGAGTAAACGTGAGCAGAGGTGCCTTGTTCAACTCCGTTGAACTGTCCGTCCAAAAGCACAGTTCCGGTCCAACTTCCATCGGATCGGTCTACAACGGAGAACAACGGAATGGAAATAAACAAATAAAGGTAAATTGCCCCGGCAGGAGCACAGATCACTAGTTCAGGTCTTACAACCATTAACCGTGCACTTTAGTGCGCCGGTTTTGTTTGCCCATTTGGATAAAACAGCAGAATGATCATTAGAATGTTGAGAGTAGATTTAAGCCGAAGCACATTTTCAGACTGAAGTTACAAGAATAATGAGTAGATGAATGAGTGCCACTGCGACACCCAGTCATATCATATGCGTCTGCGCGCAAGGTTGGATTTCTATTTCGCGCCAGACGTTTTTTCACCCCAGCTCATCTTCTATTGTACAAAGCTCAAATCCGCCCTGCTCTTGAATACTGTAGTCACGTGTGGGGTGGAGCTTCATCTTCTTCCCTTTCCCTTCTTGATCGTGTCCAACGAAAGGACATCCGGTTAATCGACGATCCTTCCCTAACATCCAGTCTACAGTCGTTAGCCCATCGTCGGACAGTTGCTTCATTGTCCCTCTTCTGTCGTTACTACTTTGGTTTTTGTTCTTCGGAACTTGCCTCGGCAGTTCCTCTTCCTGCAACTTTTTCCCATCTATCTCGTACACAGGCATCTAGTCATCCTTATCAGGTTTCTGTTCCCAGATGTGGTACCTCTCTACTCCAATCTTCTTTCTTTCCTCGAACTGCCAAACTGTGAAACACCCTCCCACTTGTTGTTCCCCTCCCCCCCC